ATTTATTAGTTTTCCTCTTCTTAATTTAACATCTCTTCTTATCTACTCTTCTTTTTCACACATCTATCCCCGTTTTTTACCTTCTTCATAATTATTTCCCCTTTTTACTCCTTAATGTTGTTTCCATTTTTTTGATTTTTAATCATCCTCTTGCTCTTTCTTCTTCGTTTTTTTCCTATTATTATTATTTTTCTTCTTCGTCTTATTGTTCTTATGTCTTGTTCTTTTTTTCTTATTTCATATTATTGTTCATCTTTCTCTTTGTTTTTCTTCTTTTTCTTTCTTTTCATTTATTTTTCTCCTTTTTACTTCTTTCATTTTCTTGTTCTTTTTCTTCTTTCATTTGCTTGTTCTTCTCCTTCTTTCTTTTTCTTCTTTCATTTTCTTTTTCATGTTCTTTCTTCTATTATTTTCTTATTCTTCTCCTTCCTTCTTGCTAATTTGGCTTTCTCTTCTCTTCTTCTTCTTTTTCCCTTCTTCTCTATTTTTATTTTCCTCCTTTCTTTTCTCTTCATTTTTTTCTTTTTATTTTTCCTTCCTTCAATATTCTTTAGTCTTATTCTTCCTTTTTACTCTGTTTCGGTTTCCTCTATTTTCCTCCTTATTATTCCTTTTCTTCTTTTTTCTTATTTCTTGTCCACTTTCCTTCCTCTTTGTTTTGCTCTTTTCTTATTTCTTCTACATTTTTTTCTTCATTCGCCATCATTTACTTTACTACTTCTTCATCTTCCTTTTTTCTTGCTTCTCCTTTCTTCTTCTTTCTAATTTTTTTTTCAAGCTTTTCCCCCCTTTTCTTCTACTTTTTTGTTCCTTATTATTTATTTTTTCTTCTCTTTATTTGGTTTTATTCTCTCTCTCTTCTTTTTATCTTGTTTTATTCCTTATTTATTTTGCTCTTTTCCTTCTTGTTGTTTCTTATTTATTTTTCGTATAACTTTTTCTTTTCTTCCACGTTTTCATTTTTCCAGTGTCTTTGCCTGCCATTTTCCTCTTGAACTTTTTCCTGTTTTCCTTCGTCATTTTGTTTTCCTTTTTTTAAATTGCCACTAAAAGCGGATAGAGCATCAAGTCTGACGACCCAATTATCAAAGCGGTTGATTTTTTCTTCTTCGTCCCTATTTTGAGGCGCAAAAGTCCACTTATCGTATATTTCTGAGCACCTCTAGAGGCCAATTCAAGCTTAAGAGAAAATGCAGAGTTGATCTCACCTCATTGGTCTCAAAATTCGCCGCGTGCGATTCAACGGGACTGTGACCTATTAAGAATTCCAACAAAATCGAGGTCACGTTGGAATGGAAGACCACCTAGCCATTTCGTCCGCCATTTATCAGACAAATTAGTCTCAGTAGAGAGTATTCCCAGTCGGCCGAAAGGGTGCTCAAACATTTTGGACAATGTATTAGGTTTCTGTGACAGCTTCCTAGCTATTATTTACCATATTCGAAAGGAAAAGAAAAAACCTTCAATTGGAGGAAGAGTCGCAAGGAAAATCTTATAACCATTATCTAGGGAATAAAACAGGTTTTGACTTACCAAAACAAAATCTCGATATGTATTAACTGGGGTAAATTCGTTTTCAATTCTTATGGAGCTCGGTGCTCGTGTCGTTATTCGCAACCTTAGCAGGTTTGTGTCATGGCTTTCAATATAGTAATTAGTAAAGAAGTCTCGAGGGCCTTTAAGAATTTTGCCGTGTTGATATAACCATTCTACATAGACTGGCGGTCATTACAATAGACTCGCCTTACTTTGAAGAGTTTTGGTTATATTTCCATGGTTTATTTTATGTTTAATATTTTTTTATAAAAGCCTGGCTAGCTATACAACAAACACCATATAAATCCCCTTTTAAAACTTTAAACAAAAATTATAAAAATTCGACAAACTTTCGCCAAATCTCTAAACTTTTCATTCAGAATTTTTAGAAAATTTTCTGGTATGTAGTTTTGTAGCCCATTCAATTTTAGAACTAAAGTGCAAGTTTCAAGTGGCTAGAAAATACCGTTGATTTTTGACATTTTTTTTGTTGACGATGCTAGGCATTCTCTTCCATTGTCGAGCACACTTTGTACGGGTACAAATTCGTGACACCGTCAGCAAAAAAATTCTTAAAAATCAATGGTATTTTGTAACCAGTTGCACTTTATTATTATTAATTGAATGGGCTACAAAACTGCATACCAGTAATTTTTCTAAAAATTCTGAATAAAGAAGTGTAAATAGTAGTTAAGTGAGTTGGACAATGACACCTAAATGTATGCCACGTGCTTTATGAATTTCCATTTAAATTTTATTTTAGATGCACAAACAGACAGCCCACAAGAATATAATCAAATTTTTTACGCAAATTAATTAGAAAATTCCAGTGATCGCATAGTTTAGAGAGCAATAAAAGCACGAAGAATTTCGAAACTACTTGGTAAATTTGTGTATTAAAATTTTTTTATTGAATTCAAAATGATACTAAAAAATATTTAAAGCATACAACTCCCGAGCTAAAACCAAAACAGAAGTAGCAGTAGTGATATTTTATGGGCTCATAAAAATTTCTGAGCATATGTTTGAATGCATATACAAATGTATGTATGTGCCTCACCAAGAGAAAGCTGCGTGTTTTCCAACGTAATTCTAAAATTTATAATATTTTAAGACTTTTGCCAACAAATTTGGGAAGAATATTAAGAATTAAAAATGTTTCTAAAAATATCATTTTATTGGTGACGTTGATATCATTTTTAAACACTTCTATTCAAACCTATTAATTACCTCGTAAGAGGAGGTAATTTTTTGGAAAAAAAATTTTAAAAACTAATATTTAGAAACTCGGTTTTTGCAAGGTATTTTGAAATCGGTCCAGCTTTCGTAAAACTTAATACTTTTCCGAAATATTTTGGCGGAAGCCTTAAAATACAAAAAGTTTTATATTACCAACGGAAATTAATATTTTTCCGAAATATTTTGACGGAAGCCTTAAAATTCAATAAAATTTATAACTGCAACGGAAAAACAATATCGTTTTTTTTTTGTATAGAGAGTGATGCACCCTAATGTAGATGCATTAGACTGCACCAGAACAAAAAAAAATTTTGCCGAAAGAAGAGGTCGCCTTATTGCATTTTACGTGATACAGTGACTCAAACAAGTGACCACAGTTGTTTTTTAATGTTGACGATGTTTTCCAACTTAATTTTGTTTTATTATTTTTTTAATATTGACCAAGCTTTAACAACAGCCATATCAATAAAAGTTTCAAACTTTATATAAAATTTAGCAAAATTTAACAAATTTACATTATATTTTCAAAGTTGTTAACACAAATTTTTAGTATTTTTTTTGCATTAAAGCCCTTTCACGCGGCCCAAAAAGCGCGTCTATTTTTAATATTTTTTTCCTTCTTGTTGAGATTTTTGCACTTTTTTCCGCATAAGCATGAATTTCTTATGAAATTAAATGTGTGAAACCGTTTGCAACGAAATTTCGAAGAAATCAACGCCAGTTTTTGTAGATTGCACTTGTTATATGAAAAAAACGGAAAACCAGTCACCACAAAAAAATTCTTAAAAACATACGGGGTTTTTTAGACGGCTAAAAATTCAAATAGTATGAGCTATAAAACTGCATATCCAGATATGTTTTGAAGATTCAGATTACAAAGTTTGAAATTTTGAAAAAAAATATTGAATTTTTCTAAATTTTGCATAAAAATTTAAGCTTTTATTTATATGGTTTTTGTTAAAGCTTGGAAAATATTTTTATAGAAAAATAGCAAAAAAATATTGTGAATATTAAAAAAACAAGACGTGGTCACTGTATCTTTCGACATTGNGTATAGAAAAATTGTGAATATTAAAAAAACAAGACGTGGTCACTGTATCTTTCGACATTGACAATTGGATCTTAAAGTTTTTTTTTTTCAAAAGTTCATTGAGCTCAAGTACCCCGTTCTAGTAGATAGTTACCCAGAATATCTCTGCTTTTATCACCCCTATAGCCTATTTCCACCAAAGGCTTAACTAGATCTAAGAGCTTATATAAGCAGAGGCATAACTATTATACCCGTAAGAGAAAATAATAAAAGTCAATCAATAATTATTATATTAATGGGATACAAATTTTTCGAGTCACCTATAATTATTATTCCAGGGCTTTGATTATAAAAGTCCTTTCATAATAATTATCAGAGAGATAAATATTTTTAATTCTTCCAAGACTTTTATTTTGAGACTTAAGTATATTATAAAAGTCGTTTCATAATAATTATAAGTGGGAAAAAATTTTTAAAGTCTTAAAGGTCGGGGATTGTTCAGGACCAGTTCGGGACTATTTGGGGAGTATTTTGGGTCCAGTTGAGGCTTAGTTTGGGACCCGTTCTCTGCATATATGTAAGTTCCAAGATTTTTAACACGGAATGATCGACAAAGTTTATTTCTTAATTTTTGATATTTTCTTTTCGTTAGCTTGCACTTAATATAAGCAGTTACCTCCTTCGAGTTGTAAGCTCATTTTTCCAATAGGCATTAATTGCAGTTAAGGCTTGTTGGAAATAAACTATGAGGGACCGCCCTAGTCTAAAATTTTGCCAAGGAAGTAGAACCAGTTAAAACCAAATTGTGTTGCGTTGCAAATATACTTTATACTCAGGAGTGTATGCCGATTTTCTTTTTGTTTTTTTTTTTTTTTTTTTGTTTGCTTGTAAGGTGGTATGGCCTAATGTACGTGTATGTATGTAGCGACATATATAAATACGTCATATTTTCGCCAATTCTATGCCCATTTTCCCACGCAAAAGATACCAGAGACCTATAGAAGCAGGGTGTACCCTTTCCCCTTTTCTCTAATTGCTCAAAGTAAAAAGCAAATGCAGACTTGCTCAATCATTTATGTGCCTATTAATGTCGTAGCTTTCTTGTTTTTTTTTTTCGAATTATTTTTTCTAAATATGTAATTCCATTTGAAATGAGTGAATCGAGAAATAGAGAAAAATAAAAAAACTCACTCACCAATTAAAAATTCCAAAGCACTCAAGTATCAAGTGTGCGCGTTTTTTATTTGCGAACGTGCGGAGGAGGTTGAAGAGGTGTGCGGCTGTAGTTGCGGTTGTGGAGCTATGGAGTACTATAAAATCCAGCGTCGTCTACAACAATTAAGCATTGGCTCTTCAAAATGTCGATGTTGCGACGCCGACAAAGACGTCGTTGACGGTTGACAACAATAGCAACAATGCAGCTGAGGTTCAAGGTGCCCACAAATGTGTGTGCATATGTTACGATGTAACTACATATGTATGTACGTATGTGGTGCTACGCCAGGCGCGCGTGTATGCCACTTGCCTAATTTCCTGCCTGCTGCTACGACTTACTGTTTGGCTAGGCGCTTCTAGATTTGCTAGTAGCTTGCCGTAGGCGCACCGAAAACCGTTTGGGCGCTGTGTATTCCTCAGTGCTGAACAGTAAAAGTGGGTGGTGGTGGTGGTGCTGATGTTGGTTTTGATGTGCTTCGTTGATGTAATCAAAATTGAAACTAATTTAACGGAATGTCTTATTTAATTCGTTTGCGTTTGTGAAAGATTTTGTTTTATTCTTTTTTTGTAGTTTTTTTTTTTTTAATCTTATTTCTCAGTATCTTTACGATTCTTTGCAGTTCAATGGCAAATCAAATATGATGTTGCTACGTGTCGGCAGCGTTTTCAAGAGGTGAGCGGCGAGAGATCTTGAATAGATAAATGCACATACAGATATTTTATTTATGCACGAGAAATTAATAATAAAAGCACACACACAGACACTGAAAAAAGCAATCGGCACTTTGTATTTTACGCGATTTTTTTTGGTCGTTTCCCGCACGTAGCTCGTCCGTTGCTTTGTAAACTTTTTCACTAATTTTCATTTGTATCCTTTAATTTGGGTTTTCCTAGCTTTGTTTGTTGTAATCTACAATTAAATTATTTTTATATTCCATTCATTGAATTTCGTACATGCGGCCGCTTTTTGCGCTTTATAGCTTTATTTAACTTGTATATGCTTTTCATTAAGGTCAGTTTAGTAGCTCACATAGTTTTACATACATACATACATACATACATATTTTATGTTTTTTTTTTTTTTCATTTTTGTTGGGTAATGAAAATTCAATAAAGTAAGTACCGGAAAGACACTCACAAAAGTATACATTTTTGTTGTAGTCCAATTGAAGATAGTACACGTAAGCGATTTATGGTATTAAATGGGAAAAATATTAATTTTTGTTGAATTATTTATTGGCCATATGTACGTGTTATGCTTACGCATTTAAGTGTATAAAATATGCACATTAGGGCGGGCGTAGTAATTAGTTCGGAGCAAAATTTTCGGAGAAAGTGTATGCAAAATTCAAATTCTAAGCAAAAATGGCGAACAAACTATATTTATACCAAAAAAAGAAAAAGCAGTATATACATATATTACATTAAGAAAACACAAAATTTGTTAAATAAAATCGAATCGAACGTAGAATTAGAATATGTTATACACTTTTTTCCAAATTAAATTACTCCGCCCTAATGCAAATTCATTCTATCTGTGAACATTTTCTTTAAAGCGCTAAATCATTGAGTTTTCACACCATATTTGAACTATTAGACAGTCAAAAATATACATTGAGATGCTATTTTAATAACTACTTAATAAATATATAACGTTTTTTTTTTCCTTTAAACTTTGTAAACATTTTGTAAGAAATCTACAGACATTTATGCAGCTCAATAATTGAAAATCGAGTGGTTTTTATGGTTATATTGTGCTAATTGTACAAACATTTTTAGCACAATTCAAAATATTTTTTAATGCCGAATTTTCACTAGGCATAAAAATTACAAAAAATTGGTGCCACTTAAAACATGCTAGGTGGAAATGAACTTAATGACAATTTTTTCAACAAAATGACAAGAGTATTTTTTCTATGCCAACTTTGTCATTCAAATTTTTGCTATTTAATCCCTAGTGGAAATCTAGCATAATCTGAATCTTTAGAACATTTTTGGGTATGCAAATTTATAGCCCATTCTGGTTTAGTGTAATGAAGTGCAAGTTTCAAGCGGCCCAAAAATAACGGTGATTTTTAATATATATATTTTTTTTTTATGACAAATTTTTACACTTTTTTCCATATAAGAAAGCATGAATTCCTTATGAAATAAAATGCGGAAGACTGTTCGCAATAAAATTTCAAAAAATCAACGCTAGTTTTTATAAATAAAAGATGCTCGGATACTCGAGTCGTCCAAACGACTATTCGATCACAAAAAATAATACGAAAAATATTAGTGAAACTAGCAAATACCCGGCGTGCTCCACTGCGCGTTAAAAGTATTTTTGTGCTCTTTCATACCCGTTTTGTAATATTTTATTTATTTTATCAACTTAATTGAATCAAATTTTTCAAACAGGTGGCAACCCTCCTCAAACAAATTTTGCGGCAGTATCTAAACTTTCCTAAACCTCTTCTGTTTGATACGCATATTGCAAAATTTAATTTATCTTAGCAAGTACATTAAATTAAAGTTTTCAAACAGGTGGCAACCTTCAACAAAATTTTTTCGGCCGTAAGCCTTTTCAAACCTCTTTCTTTTGGCAGCCATATTGCAATTTACTTAAACTGCAAATTTTCAAATAGGTGGCAACTCTGTAATTTCTTTCCTTCTATATTTTAAGTTAAACCTCTAGCAATAGATCGGCGAAAACTGTATTCAATTCCATGCATAAGTTTTCGAGTGATGCGCGTAGAAACATACAGAGAGACGGAAAGACAAAATTTCTAAAAATTTTTGATTTAGCTTCTGTTGCTCTATTAAAGATCCCCCATATTAATTTATCTGCAATATCTTTAATGTGCAGACATTGGCCTATTAGAATTCTATTATATGTATAGAAGATTAAAAGCAAGGACATTTTTATTCAATTATTAAATTGGTAAAATAAATAAAATATTACAAAATGGGTATCAAACTAAAGAATTTTAAGAAAGTATAATGCCAAAATTTGTTTGTAGTGGGTTGCCACCTATTTGAAAAATTTCATTCAGTTGAAGTGCAGAATAAGTAGAAACGAATTATACGACTGTAAATTACTTTAGCCACTTTCTAAATGCCATCGAAAATATATTAACCAACAACCACATTCATAAAAAATAAAGAATGCTTCGTAAATCAAAAATTTTTATAAAATTTTCTCTTCATAAAGCTCTTCAAATCTTTATGGATGGATCCATAAGAGTTTTGGGAGGGAGTAACAACACAAAAATACTTTTAAGGCGCAGTGAACCCCGGGTATTTCTATTATACAGTCAGTCAATAAAGTTTAGGTACAGCGAATTTTTTACAATACAGGCAACTATTTTTTAGATATTTTATTTTTCGCTAATTTTTTATAAAAATATGGTTAATTTTACAACAAAAACCCCAATAATTAAAGTTCTAAACCTTGTGCAAAATTAAAGAAAATTCTGCAAAATTTCATTCACATATTGCACTTCTTATTTACGCTCTCTGGAAAAAAGTTGAGTATGCAGTTTTTTAGCCCATTCAATTTTATTATAATAAACTGCAAGTATGAGGAAGCTAGGACTTACTATTGATTTTTGGGATTTTTTTTTTTTGTTGAAGGTGTTGCACATTTTTTCCATAAAAAAAAATTATCAAATATTATTTTATATAGAGAAATGAGCGACACCTTCAACAAAAAAAAATTGCTAAAAATCAATGGTAAGTCCTAGCTACGTCAAACTTGCACTTTGTTATACTAAAATTTAATGGGCTAAACAACTGCATACTCAACTTTTTTCCAGAGAGCGTAAATAAAAAGTGCAATATTTCAATGAAATTTTGCAGAATTTTCTTTAATTTTGCACAAGGTTTGGAACTCTGATTTTTTGGGGTTTTTTGTTGTAAAATTAACCATATTTTTATACAAAATTATCGAAAAAATAAAATATTTAAAAAATAGTTGCTCGTATTGTAAAAAACTNCAAAATGATCGAAAAAATAAAATATTTAAAAAATAGTTGCTCGTATTGTAAAAAACTCGCTGTACCTAAACTTTATTGACTGACTGTATGTGAATGTAATTGAAATTTTAAGTTTTTCGAAGAATCGTTTGTTTTAGAAAATAAAAGAGCAACAAAGAAAAATATGCATACAAAATGAGGTAAGTAAGCCAGCGGAATCGCGCACTTTAAGAGCTATGGAATTGTTATCGCAATTTTCTTAGTGCCAGTTGTAAGCGGTTTCTAAGTGACTAACATATAACACGACATATTTAAATTGCTAATAATTAAAAGAGCTTACTTGAGTTTATAAAATATTAAGGAAATTTCAGTGAAAACCGTGATAGGTACTGAAGATTTAATTACTTTATTTCAATAGGGTTTGTGACGCCCTACCTGGCGAAACTTTTTACGAAAATTCACCTCTCGGATGGCGGGTTAAGGACGACATGAGCTAGCAAGTGAAGAAATTGTGTTCCAATTCGCTAAACCATAAAGACATAGCATATGCCATATGGGTTTTGTACACTCTGATCTTATGTAGTTCATCGTGCCATATATGAACAAAAGCCAAAAAAGGGTTATGACAAAAACCATGTAAGTCAAAATTTCAAACTTTGAACAAAAATTAGGAAAATTCTACAAAGTTTCATCAAAATTTTTAACTTTTTAATTAGATTTCTTAGAAACATGCTGAGTATGCAGTTTTGGGGTAGAAGTGATACATACATATGTGTGTACATATGTAGTACATACATATATTTTGCTGAGAAGGCGTCATTAACATTGAATTATTTAGTCTTGCAAAATGCGTTTGTGTCCCTGGTAAATATTATTATAAAGGCCTGCTAAATAGCTTGAGATACGCATTTATCCAGTTCATCTGCAAGTGCGGCAGACTTTACGGTCGGGGATATCATAATCTCAAATCCACATTTCAGCAGTGATTTCATTAAAAAAATTTATGGGAAATTTCTATATTTAAAACCCAATATATACAGCGCAGTTTAGCAACAAACCAAATACGGAGCACTGTTGTTTGCATTACAAATTTTTTTGTTTATATGTTAAAGCCATTGATCAAAGTTAAATTTTATATTAAAACTTCATTTTAGCAATTAAATTGTTTTTCTTTCATGAAAAATTCTGCGTTACTGAGTGGTAGCGTATTTTTCCGATAGTTTTCGTTTGGATCTATTAACAAATAAAATTTCGAGATATTTAAATTTGCAATTGGAGCATGCATACATACATACATTCATACATACATATACATAGATGTATGTACATATTTTCTTTGTAAAAAAGAAGTACTTTTACAACCTTTTATTATGTTTCACCTGTGTGTAATCAAATCTTGCAGTCAATTTTTAACCAAATTCCCGATAAGCTAGAAACTTAAAACTTAACTCAGAACCCGGTAACAAAACAATACTTATGACAGATGAATTAATCCTCTAGGTGGCGCAGGTGTCGGATATTTGAAACACCCGTTTTTGGATATTTCCAATGTACTAAACTTACGTGAAAAGAGTAACTCCAAAAAATGTTGCTCATTGCCACCTATTAGGGGAGATATTTGAAAAATCCGTCTTTATGGCCCGATTGGTTCACGAAAATAAAAAATAACCCCACAGAAATTTTTTTCCCGATTTGTTTTCTTATTAACATGTAATAAAAGCTTGTCTTCA